AAAAGGCAGCTGGGTGACTTTGGGTCAATCACCAGGAGACGGTGAGTTCTAGTCCTGCCTTAGGCAGGAAAGCCATTGGGTGACTTCAGACTAATCACCGGGAGACGGTGAGTTCTAATCCCACCTTAGGCATGAAAGTCAGCTGGGTGACTTTGAGCTAGTCCTTTCTCTCTCCGCTCAGCCCAACCTCACAGGGTTGCTGTCATGAGGAAAAGAGGAAGAGGAAGGTGTGCTGGATACGCTCGCCTCCTTGAGTTGTTCACAAAACCAGTCGGCGACAAATAAAACAAAGAAATCAGACAAAAAGAGCCTGCGAGCAATCGGAGCATTAAAAACAGAAAAGTTACGTCAACGACTGCTCTCTGTGTGTTAAGAAGCTCCGTGTAAAGGAAGGGGAAGCATTGTTGCAAGAAGCCGCCTCTTCCCAAAGCGAGACGAAGATGCTGGCATCCATGTGCAGGCAGCTTATGGGGAGGAAAATGAGAGATTCCAGCCAAAACAGAGACAGGTGGTGCCCACAAGCCAAGCAACTAACCAGATTTGCGCAGGACCCACAAATCGCCCGGAGAAAGAGGTTTCTGCCTTGTTGCCTGCTGAACACTGATTTCCTTGGTGCCTGGCAGAGGTGGGGAGCCCAGCACCATGACTCAGGCATGGAGGGGGGGGTGAGGCAGCTCCCCCTCCCCCAAAAAACTGCAGCAAGCAGACAGGGAAACAGATACTCGGTGGTTGGTTTCTGATGGTAACTCAAGTTCCTTCCTTGGTGGGTTTGCAAGGACCCCCCCGCCGTCCCCCGCTGTTGGGTTCTGGCCAGCGATTCTTGCAGCGGATGGGTGGTTGTCCACCTCTTGTCATACGGATGACCGGATCCAGACCTCTGGTTCCTCACCTGGCTCGCCTGCAGAAGGACATCCTGGATTGCTATTCTCTGCCTGCTGCTGAGGACCACGAGGGTTGCCAGCAGAACCGGCGCGAAGGATATGTCCCAACAAGGAGGCACTGAAGAAGGCTTGGGTGGCACCCCAACACAGGTGAGCAGCATGTAAGGTGTGTGGGGGGGGGGAGGGGGGGGGGGGGGGCAGCTTCAGCCAGGGGGGGCGGGCTCGCAGCGCGGAGCGCGGGGGGGGGGGGGGGGGGAAAAGGGGGAGAAAAAAAACAGGAAAAGTACAGGGGTGATTCAGAGGCAGCGTTTGGATCCCAGCTCCCGAATGACTCCAGGTGAGGGCAGAGACAAACAAACCCACCAGGTTTACCCTGTTAAAAAAAAATGCAGCTGCTGGTTTTGGGCAACATCTGTTTAAAGAGACACAACCAGGAGTGGGGAAAGGAGAGAATTTGTCTCCTGGGTCCAGATTCTATGTATCGTACCTATACGTTGATCTGTCTACCTACTTACCTATCCACCCACCCACCTTTCATCTATCATTTTTTGCTCTAACAATCATCTATCTCTAGTTAGCTAGCTCATCTCTCTCTCTCTCTCTTGCTCATCTATCTATCATCTATCTATCTCATCTATTGACTGGCCCACCTGTTTACCTACGTACCTTCCCCACTCTCTATCTGTCTATCTATCCATCTGTACATCCATCCACAGTATCTATCATCTATCTGTCTCTGTCCATTTGTCCATCCATGCATTCTATCTATCTATCTATCTATCTATCTATCTATCTATCTATCTATCTATCATCTATCTATCTATCTATCTATCTATCTATCTATCTATCTATCTATCTATCTATCTATCTATCATCTATCTATCTATCTATCATCTATCTATCTATCTATCTATCTATCTATCTACCTATTTACCTACCTACCTACCATCTATCTAATTCGTTTGTCTATTCTCTAATACCCTGCCTTTATAGTCTTTCCCCCTATAATTTATATAAGACATACCTCTAATATTCTGTCACTATTCTATCTATCTATCTATCTATCTATCTATCTATCTACCTACCTATTT